GCAGCCGAGAGCCTCTTGCTCTACAGTAAGAGGAAATCAGCTGCAGGCATTGACAAGGATGGCTGCTGTGGGCCTGCATGTCACACACACACACACACACACTCTTTTCAAGTAAAGTGCATGGGAGGTGTGCAGGTGCACCCGCACCTGCCAAGGCCTGCTTTGCATCTGAGCGTCTCTTACTCTAGAGTAAGAGGCTCTTGGCTGCAGGTCCTGGCAGGCATGAGTGCTCTGGCCCTCCATACCACACACGGACACACACAGACTTTCCAAAGAGAGTGCATGTGTGGCATACAGGAGTGCCCGCGCTTGCCAGGGCCTGCAGCTGAGCACCTCCTCTACAGTAGAAACAGCAGGTAAGAAAAAGCCTCCTTAAAGCACAAGCTAGGAAGGGGAGCCTGGGTGGGAAGCCCCCCCCCCAATATGGCTGATAGAAAAATGGATCTTTCAGCACCAGGGAGTGAAAACAGTTATCTGCCCTCTTGATTTCAAGTGTCTCCCCCCCAAAAGATCTGGGCCCCCCACTAAAAGTTGAGACACAAAATGGGTCAGGTTTTACCCCAAATGCACAACTCTACCATACAGCCAAAAGCTTTTGAAGAAGGCTTGGTATATAAATGTTTGGCCTTAAATTCCTTGTATTTTTATGGTGTGAAATTAGGTTACCATCTCTTTTTTCCTTTTAATATTCCCCTTAGTAGACAGGTAGTTCACAGGTTTCTTTATATCTGATAGCAATTGTTTAATATGACCAGTACAGGTTGTTGAGACATTGATTCAGTTTGTTTTCAAGTGGAATCCACCAAAATCTACATAAAATTGTATCTTACTGATGTCCACGGCTGCTGCTAACTTCTCCTTTAGCAGGATTATAAGACTACAAATCTGCTCAAGAAATACAAAAAAAAAAAAAAGTTAAGCAGCCTGAATGTGTTTGTTTAATGTATTGGAACTTAGTGTGAACTCTGCAGTCTGGGTTGGGGTGACTGTGTTTTCTCTCTTTATGGGGTATGCAACAGAAATAATTTTTGTGCAGATGGAGCATTTATCTTTGATGGATCCAGAGCTGTTACTCTTTTTGGTAAAACTGACTAAAAACAGATTGCAATAGTTGTTTTTCTGGATCTGATGACACAGGGGCCTCAGAGGGGGACTAAAAGTGATACAAAGCAAATTGAGAAAGCTTTATTTGGATGATCTTCAGCATTAACTGTTTTCTTTCTCCTGGACAGAGATGAAGCATTGGTTTTGTGGAGTGGGCCTATACTGACCTTGCAAAATTCTACCCAAATCCCGAACTAACATTTCCCTTTAATGAGGGAAGCAATTCAGTATGCCATCTTTTTTCCTTCTTTATATGCACATGCATCCATGGAGTTGAAAGTGAAACAGGAACATTTAATGGGGAAGTGCCATGTGGTTATCAGAACTTTATGTCAGCAAGGGAATAACGGATAGGAAAGGGTTAGGGTTTGGGTTAGGAAAGGTAAGGGATGGGATATTTTATTTATCGTGTCATCCGCAACCAGAGCATTGTATCTGCAAGTCATCTCTGGTTGCTTCTGGATCGAGGGAATCAGCTATCTACGAAGACATTGCCCAGGGGATGCCCGGATGTCTTGCAATCCTGCGAGGAGGCTTCTCTCATGTCCTGATCTGTCCTAAGAAGCTTATGGATCCGGGTGGATTGTTAATGGTTTTTGAGGAGGTTCTTGTTGCTCTGTCAGATGATCCTCCTGGAGACCTGGCTGACCTTTGGAGTAGGGAAATAGTCAGGGTTGTGGAAACTGACAATTTTAAGCATCTCTCGTGGATTGGAGCTTAGCCACTTGGTTTACAAAACTAGTGGCAATAAAAGGTATTCTGGGTTGTTGTAGGTTTTCCCAGGCTATATGGCCATGTTCTAGAGGCATTTCCTATTTTATTCTATTTTATATGGAACTCAGACTGGAGCATTGACTTAAAAAAATCAGCATTATCAGACGGGCCAATTTGCCCATCGTATAGTGCTTCACTTCCCTTTTTGCGATGTGCCTTTCACATGGCACAAAGGGACTTCCGACCAAGCTCCATGCCAAAAAGGGAGGTGAAGTAGCATTTGCCGCTGGTGCGGCAACCTGGAAGCCTTCCCGTGTTGCCTTTCCTTCAATGAAGGGAAGTTGGGCAGTGTCGCTTCCCCCCATGGGATGAGGAGGAAAGTAAGCTGGGTGATGTGGGGTGTGGAATGGCAGCTTCTCTACGCCCTCCACTGGGAACCCATGGATTCACCCTGATGTGGGGCAAATCCATGGGCCTTTCTGATAAAGTGGTTTATTTATTTATCGTGTCAGTATCAACCAGAAAATTGTATTGCGTTTTTAACAAATTTTTAACAAACAGACAAAACAGAGTTTCCATAAGTCAGAGTTGACACGAAGGTTTAGTTGGAAGCCTGAGTAATCATAATGTGACATGAAGAACCTCTGAACAGAAATAGATAGCTAGAAATGATAAAGAACCCTTTATCCTTCAGTCTAAGGATGGTTCTAGACAGCACTTTATCAGGGGTTTCAGTGAGGGGCAAAAAATTCCGGGACTTCAGGAGAGGTCCACAAACAGACCTGTTGGTCCTGGGATTTCTGCCTCCATTGTCCAGACGTCATACTTTGATCTGAGATTTTGAGGCTCTCAAAATGGTCGCTGGAGGCAGAGCTTCTGCTGGAAAGTGGCAGTTGTTGTTTTTTAATTGCGGGATGCGGATATGTGGACTTTTGGATATACGACAAACCATAAAAGTTCCGTTCTTTATCCTGGCTGGAAAAACTGTCTCCTTCAGACATTTCATGAAGTATCTCCCACACTTACAAACCTCGTAGTATAGAACTACTACTGCCCAAGTCAGGAGTACACAAACAGAAACACACATTTTTGAGTCAGGAACAGAACTTTGTCATTATCTACTATTTTTAAGAGCCCGGCTGCCTGGCCATCTATCTAGACAGATCTGATTGTGTACTTTGTGGCATCCAACAACAGGGTCCTCTTTCTGGGTTTTATTTGGCTTTCCATGTTAGTGGATATGCGGATATCCGCATATCTCCATCTCTACAAAAGTTCCAATTTATGTGTAGACCAAAAATACTGTGTCCTCCGCATGTTTCATAAAGTTTCTTGCACACAAATAAAGTTTTTGAAGTAGGACTACTTCTATCCAAGTCAGCACTACACAATGAAACATACTTTCAAGCTAGGAACAGAACTCTGTCATTATTGTCACTTCTTACAGGCTGCCTGGCCATCTGTCCAGACAGATTCGGTTGTGTACTTGTGGCATCCAACAATATGGAGCTGTTCCTGGGTTACACATGGCTTTTCCTATTAGCCACTTGCATGACCTTGTCTCTCAGTATTTACATTCCTCTCTAGCACATCCATGTCCCAACAGTCAGTAGTAAGTGTTTTTGCCATAAAATTTACACATGTTATCAGCATACATCCAAGGAAGAACCAACAAGTATAAACTAGCAACAGCATCCTGGCATAAGTACACCATGAGACCTGTCTGCACAGATGACCACACAACAAAGTCTTAGTAATTACACTAATGATGACATTCTGTTCCTGTTTTGAAAGTGTCTGTTCCTGTTTCATTGTGTACTAATTACTGTGAAAGTACTTGTTGCATCCTAGGAACTTCATTTTTTTTGCCACAAACTTCATTAAACAGGTGAAGGATGAAGTTCCTCTTCCCAGGACAAAGTTTTTGCCTTCTACTCCAGTGTCACCTTCTTTTTAGGAACTGACTAATCAGGAACAAGCATCAAAAACCCAGGAACAAACCAAGATCAAAAAATCCCATGATATCCGATTGCACGAACATTCAGGCATGTGAATATCCGGATATTTGGCTAAAATCCGCAATATTCTTGCACCTGGAAATCTCATGTTTTTTGCCTTTTGTAGAGATTACTTCTGGTTTTACAGAGAATGGTATCTGGTCACTCTCCTGATTGCTGAGGAAGCTCCTGGGATAAAGGTACTGTCTGGATGGGCCCTCAAAGAGATCAGGAGAGGGAATCATACTTATTTCACATTGGTCTTGTTTTTGTTCTCTTTCTGCAAGCAGGTAAGTTGTTTAGGCAGCCCTTTGGTTCTCAATTCATGTGGCAGCAGAGACTTTTAATGGAATGTGCTGTACTTTTATACCGAATGTTTTAGATTATTTTTTTCTCATATGTTTTAAAATGATTTTAACTTTTAAATAGAATTATTTGAGTTCTAGCCCAACACTTCTGGAGTGCATGCAGTTGCCTATAACTTCATTTACTATTTTGACTGGACATGATGAAATATGGAGTCCAATAGTATCCGGATTGTTGGGGGCTTTCCATCACAACCATTTATTTATTTATTTATTTATTTATTTATTTATTTATTTATTTATTTATTTATTTATAACATTTCTTTTCTGCCCTTCTGTCCCCGAAGGGAGGAGTTCAACATATATATGGCAAACATTAAATGCTAAAACATAAAATAAACTATAAATATACATAAATACTAAAACCAGTCATCTCCAATTTAAAATGAATTGTTTAATCCATCTCAAATCAGCAGAGTAAAATTCCCCCAGTTACCTTATTGCACTGTCCCAAAGGCTTGGTCCCACAAGTTTTACTGTCTTTCTAAAGGACGGGGGAGGGGGCTGATCTAATCTTGCCAGGGAGGGAGTTCCATGGCTGAGGGGCAATCACCGAGAAGGCCCTCTCTCTTGTCCCCGCCAATCGCACCTGTGAAGGGCCTCCACGGCAGATCTTAGTCTTCACGGTGGTTCATAGAGAGAGGGAGATGCGTTTGGACAGGTAAACTGGGCTGGAGCCGTTTAGGGATTTATAGGCCAAGGCCAGCACTTTGAATTGTGCTCAGTAGCAAACTGGCAACCAGTGGAGCAGACGCAACATGAGAGTTGTGTGCTTTACTAAAGAAATCACATTGATTTGGGAGAACAGAAGATGCTGACATTTATTAACCATTGTTCTTTATTAGACCTCACAGAGGTGTAAACTATACATACAAATACATTAGAAAGATACCCTCTTACAGTAATATTTCACATTTTGGACTGGATCCAAGGAGGGCTGCAAACATTTCAGTACATTCTACAAACCAAAGGTTGCTGTAGCCTTTATTTAATACAGTGTGACCAAGCCCCCCTTTTCCTTTTTACTGTAATCAGTGGAGATTTAGAAAAACAAACATATAAGCAATGGAAATCAAACAGCTAGCTCTTGAAATCATTTGGACGTATCATGATAAATGTATAAAATGAGCCACTTAAAACAAAGCTTTACACGATTTGTTTCTGGAACAATGTTTAACCAGTTTTACAATTTGCATGAAGTGTGGATGGCACATGGACTGAATGGTTCTTAGTGACTTCTGATCCAGTTGTACTTAAAATTAAAATCATTGCTTGAACCTCCTGTGTGTACATTGAAACATGGAGAGAATAATGGGGTGTTACCATTAAATCTGTAGTAGGCATGGGATGGGGAGTACTGCAACACACCAATGTTACATACATAGTATGAAATATTATTTACTTGTCATCAAGTCATGACAGTTTACATTTTGAATGAACAGAGGGGAAAATGAAAACTGCACATATCCAAACATTTACAGCCCAATCTACAAAGCGTTGTGCTGGTGTATTGCCCATTCACTTCAGCAGGACTTGGGCCACCAAAATGCTTTGAGGATGATGGCAAAACAAAGCTGATGTGGTTGACTGTAAGCAAATAATACTCCTCTTCATTATGGATTTTAAAAATGTATATATTATGGAACCAATAGCCTTCTGTAATGTAATTTTTAGAAATTCAAGCATATCACCTATATACACATTTATACTTTTGAATCCATGACATTAATCATACCCTTAATGCAACTGGGTGGATTATGAAACCTAGCTCAGTGAGTATGAAAGAATGACCCTCTGGAAAACAAATGAATATCAGTCTTAACATAGTAGCAGTTTGACAGCTAGTAAAGTAATGAAGAACCTTTATATATTGTACTTACAAAATTACATATTTGTATAGGATCACCCATCTATATATCCGCCAGCTCTTAGCCCTGTTAGTTTCCAGGTCGGATGGATATAAAAAGACCTTGGGCAAAGCCAGCTGATAGTAGAAATTTGTATAATTCCCAGAATGCCTCAGAATTATGTAAAACACACTGTCACATTCTGATATTTTAATGCCTTTTTATCAGTAAGGATTTCTGATCTGGGCTGGTCAAATGTATTTGGAGAAGTATGTTGGAATGTACCGCGTGGTTGTTTCGGGTGCTTCGTTATTCTCCTTGGGTCAGAACTTATTTGTCATCACCGGAGTTGGTTACAAATGCATCAGAGTCACTCTGTCATGCCTCAAAGTAAAAGATGTTCTCATTTACTGTATAGTATAAGGAAACTTGCCTGTGCGTAAGTTTGGTGCAGGCAAGTTTCATGCTTAAGCCTCCTGTCCTCAATGGGATTTTTGCCGGCGGAGTGCTTTGGGGATTGGGCTGCAAGTGGAAATAAACCTAAATTACAATACAATTTTGGTAGATGGCTTATAACAGGCATTTAAGCTTGATTACAAGAAAGAAGCAACAATAATTAAGGCGCACAAAATCACCTACATGCACAGAGCTCTCCCGTCCCATCTGCCCCACCCTCAGTGCTAGCACAGTTTAAAGTGGCATATTGGCTGTGTGATGTCCCTTATGACATCCCTTAAATCTTATTCTTTAATAGCAAAGTGCCGTTCATAAATTAAGGGTAATGGAGCACTTCATTTTCTCTTTTGCAAAGTAAAAAATAAAACAAAATTAACCTATCAGCAGCCAAGATCTGTTTACAAATTAGATTGCCTATTATAGCAAATGGAGTTCTGCTTCTTCAAATGAAGTTTTACAGTGACACTGCTAACAGTGGGCAGATTTCCACTTGTATGTGTTCTGAGTGACATCTCGGGGTGCATTTACGCTGCAGAATTAATGCAGTTTGACACTATTGTAACTGCCATGGCTCAATGCTAAGGAATACCGGGAGCTGTAGTTTAACAAGGTCTTTAGTCTTCTCTGCCAATGAGTGTTGGTATTTCACCAAACTCACATAGATCCACAGCATTGTGCCATATCAATTAAAGTGGTGTCAAACTGCATTAATTCAGAGCCAGACTATTAACAGTGGAATGTGTGACTATACTCAGAACTGGGACATTCATTTCTATTTACCGCCAAAATATTCTGTCTAGTGTTTTGAACTGCTGAGCAATAAAATAATTTGCCATTGCTTCTAAGTTATTTTTTTAAGGAGAGTGTGTCTTGGAGGTCTCTCCTTCATAGGATCGCCGTAAGTTGAAAGTCACTTGATGGCAATTAACAACAATCAGTCCATTTGAGTTTAATCAAGTTTACTCCTGCTATTGTAGTTAGGTAACTGAATGTTTTGTTTTGTTTAAAAACTTTTTCATTATCTATTTGTTTTCCAAGGTAAACATGTAAATAAGAATGTGTTCGCACACACAGGTTCTACATGTTCAAGTTCTAGGGTTCATTAGAGCTCCAGGTCATGGAAATGCTTTTTGAGAAACCTGAAATTGTAGACATGTAACATGGGAGAAAGCTACCTCATATTAACAGTGGCTTTCTTTTTTTTTTTGCATGAAATTACAATATTTCCTGGATTCATGCCAAGCACACCAACATGCAACATGCAAGTGGAATATAATGTTGATTCTTTTTTAGCAGCAAATGTATTTCATGTAGTGTCTATAATAAGATAAGCAGGGTTTAGTAAAGAAAAACATTATTTAGGAACAGCGAAGAGAAAGAAATAGAATTTTCAATTAGGATTGCACCAACCAACAGTTTACATGTAAATTCAGTTTTTTCTTTAGTGTCCCCCCCCCCCCTCATTAGCAATGGTTCTGTTTGTGTTTCCCAGAGCGAGTTAAACATTAGGTAATCTAAGCATGCAGACTTAGTGGACAACCAGCCACCATTAAATTATGGGACTCTGCTATCTGCAGGATCCATATACTGTATAGAAATGGAACTGAAACCCAAAAGTGGGATGCCAACCTTCACCTCCAATGTTAGGTGCAGCGATAGCAGCAAATAAATCACAGCAATAACTGCTGCAAAGTATCTGGGCTTGGGTTATTATATGATGTCATAATTTTACCCAGGCAATCATGAAAATATTAGAGGATACTGGGTTATACTATCAGAAAGAGATGACGAATGGATACAATGAGTGAATCAATATTAAGATATACATTAGTTCCTGATAAATCATCTGGACTTGAAAAAATAGCCACAACTAATTTTTCATATGGATTTCAATTGGTTCCAGGTGTGACTAATTTATTTACTTGGCAAAAGGCTGCTGAGGCCATGCAAATCACAAGAGCGAGCCTCCCAGATGCAGTAACATGGGGCACAGATGTACAAATTGTATCTTAATGTTTGAGATGTGATCATTATTAGTACGGGACAGGATCAAACAAGTAGAAAAGGCATGTTGTCTCCATTGAGTCCAAAAGAAGCCACTGCAGTTGTGGGACCTCTCCAGAATATATAAAAATAAAATAAAATAAATTAGATCCCGTTTGCATCATGAGTGAAGAGGTTGAAGCCTTTGAGATGTTTGAATAATACCTCTGGCGGCAATAGCTAAAATGGTCAGTGGTCAGAGATCATGGTGGTGAAGGATCACAGGTCCTCATCCCTGCTCTACATTATGAAAGCATCTGGGAAGATAACCTTAAATAAGGATGTATACTTGAATACCAGATCACAGGATTGTATAACTAGTTTGGTAATATTCAAGAAAACCTAAGAAAAGATATTTTTTCATTGTACAGATGGGTAGAGAAGAACTTAGCATATTTGTAGTGATGTCAAATAGATCTGGTAGGATATGGTAGAATCACCAAAAAAGCCAACACATACTTTTTGGGCAGCCATGTTAGTTGTGTCTCATTTGTTGATGCATCCTAATATAATTAGTTATTAATTTGTTTTTTAAAACAAATAAAACAGACCTTAAATGTGAGAAATAGAGATTTTGGGGCTATGTTATAGGTTAAATACTATAGGTTACTGAAGAGACAGAGCAAAGTTAAAACATTCATATTTAATGCAATATGAGGCTGAGGACAGATGGCTTTCCCCTAGTGCCTCACGATAGCGTGATAGAGATATTACTGCTCAAGTACTCATATTTTAATTTTTTCCCTGTCCCATTAGTATCTCTGTCCAAAGTGGCTTTGTTTATGATAAACATGATGAAATAGTGAATATCTGTCTATACAAGGAAAAAACATAATTTAGTGGTAGAGCGTGGTCTGCATGCTCTACAACATTGATCCCAGGTTCAATGCTTTCCATTTCCAATGGAAAAGATTATGCATCAGATGATTGGAAGGGCTATCTCTCACTGAGACACCTAATAGTTTATTCTAGTAGATGGACAAGTTAGGCTCTATCTATGTTTTTTCATGTGTGGATAATGTGACTTCATTTTAAATCTTATATTAAGAGATTTGGTAGCAGGGTTAATCATGTATTCAAATAGTTTTCCTTCTTTCAAATGACTAGGTGGAAATGATGAAGAGACTCCAAGAGCCTTGTTCAGAGTTTTAAAAAGTAATTTGCAAAATTGAAACCAGTTTGGATGACTGACTCTTCTTCAAAAACATAATTGACTAGAGACTGTAGTTTCCTATAGGCTATAGTTTCTTGGTCAGCAATTTTTCCTGGGGGCTACTTTAAGAAGGAAATGAGGAATAGTGGACCTAGGCCCCATCTACGCTGCCATATAATCCAGTTTCTGAATCCAGATTTTCTAGATCCGGCCCCAGGTAATCCAATTGTTGGTTCTATAAAAAGTGGGACAGAAAACATAAAATAATTTACTCAGGAGCAACAATAACCCTATCATTAATGCATAAGTCTATGAAAAACTGCAAGCCCTGATCCAGTTAAAGTTACATATGACTGCAATTGCACCTTACCTATGTACCTGGAAGTAAGTGTGATTGAAATCAATGAGGCTAATGCTTAGTATAGGATCACACCATACATCAGTTGGAAACATTAAGTATGGCCTCAGTCATAATTAACCTGAACTGCATCAGGTTCATTTTCTATATCTAGCCTCAGACTTCCTAGAAACATCAAGACAATATTAAGTTTTGTCTTTTTGAGTGGTATCTCTGTATTGTAGTATATGTAGTCAAGTCTCAATTTTTCCTCATCTAAGTGTTAAACAGAAAAAATATAAATTCTACGTAAAAATACTGGTTTTTGAACAACGGTAGTCCTTGAAGAATATTGTAGTATTGTGATAAGCAAAAATGTCTATGGCAAGGTTAAACATTAATACAGGCTTATATTTAGGATGTTGCTTTTCTTTCAAAACAAGAATTTGTGGTACATTGTTTACCTTCATTTATACCTGAAGTAAACGGCTTGTGAAAAAATAACTAACAGATATTTGTGATTTATTAAATAGCACAAGTCATTGTCACAAAACAAAAATCTGAATTCCCCCTTTATCACCGAATCCACATGTATTTTAACTAGAAAGGCAATTGGAAGACAAAATAATTGAAAGTTTGTTTGGATGACTTTCAAAATATATGACATATGAACTGGTGTGATATTTTAAAGAGAAGAATCAGTTGTATATATTGTGACTTTAATAAATTATTACAATTCCATTCTAGACTAAAATTTTTTTAAATTAAATAAACTGATTATAATTTAATCAGAACATTTTTCCTGTCCAGTCTCTAACTTGAAAGAATATCTAATTTGGATGTTATTTTGATTTTTTAAACCCTTAAATATGTCATTTTTGCACATTATGATGTCTGTTAAAAGCATATAAAGTTTTTCAACTCTTTCTCAAGAATTAGAAGATTCTCCTTTCTTCTGCTCATTACAGAATAACTTTGAAACACTGAATACATATAGGACATCTTTACATGACCCTTTTGGCCCGTGCTGACACCCTTTCCTTCCCTTTATCAGATGGCAGAAAGAGTGGCAATGCACAACAGTGTGCATTGCCACACCATCCTATTTTGCCATCAAACAACCAAAAGGAAAGGAAAGTGAAGGAAGCTCCATTGGAGCTACCCAAACTACACTTTTCTCCTCATAGAGGAGGAGAAAAAGCCTTTCAGTGCTTCTCCTTCACTTTGGGAGGAATGTGGATAGAGCCTGCCATGTGTCATGTGATGACGCATGGCAGGCCCCGTCCTTGCTGCGATTAAATGTGGCAAAACAGGGCAAAAATGCCCTGTGTGAAGGGGTCTATAGACTATTACATAGGATTAGGGGCACAGGGCCCCCATGAAAGTGAATAACAGTGAAAAAAAGAAATTGCTATATTTCCACTGGAATCTGACCACAAAATAACAAAAGTGGATTTAGAAAAGTGTTGACCCTAGAAATTTCTAGGTCATCCAGTATAATTGGAGGGACTTCATCACACAGTTCTATTGGAGGATCTAGAGCTTCCTAGAGAGAGCATTTGGATTAAATCTGTAAAAGCCAAAATCACAAAGAAGGAGGGGCAAATGCACTTTATGCTTGGACAATAGAATAGTTGTGATTTGTGCTCCGGTTGTTTTCCCCTACATGATTTCACTGGTATTGGCAAGCCTTCCAGGAGTTATCTGTCTAGCTACAAATATGCCCCTTCAACATTCCTTGAACCCAGCTAAAGAGAGCAGGCCTTCAATCTTGGATTTCAGATGTGTATCTTGCAGTCCTGTGCATATTTACCTGGGACCAAATCCAGCTGAAGCCAGTTTGCCAGCTGGGCTTACTTCTGAGTTGACATGTTTAGGATTATATTTTAAATGTAGGTGAATTGTTATCTGCTTCCCTTGCATTGCTTTTTAGTGGGAAGTCACCATAAGTAATCTTTTAAAGTGCAATTATAATTAAGCTTCTGTATTTTTGTGCTTGTTTCATAGGAAACAAAATTGTTTTAAGCATTTTCACACATGAACCTGTAATTGTCTGCCTCATTCCATCTCCAGTGTATATAAAATCAACACTGGCTGAGATGTGCCTTCAGCTTTAAAAACAACCACCTTTCTGTGGTTTATCGATATTCACACATTTGTACAGGTGTTGTGAATTAGGATCAAAGGCACATATATTTTCATGTGTGAAATGCATTGCCATACGTTAAGTGATACAAAGCATTGAAGGGATATTGTTGCACTGCAAATCCCTGCAGCACAAGCAAGGGTAGCCAATAGTAAGAAGCTGCAGTCCAATGACATCTGGAGCACCTTGAACCATGGGAGCCTTATGCCAAAATCCAACACCATATCTTGTTTTAAATGCAATATTTTAATATGCATTTAATAGAATTAGGATATATATTAGTCATGGGTCCGAAAGTTGTCCCATTCGTTTCATTTGTGTTTTTTCTGTTTCTTTTTGACCATTCGGATGGCACAAAATGGAAAGGTCCCTCCTGAAACAAAAATGCAATCAATATGAAAGGAAGGCGGGCCTGCCTTTCGGATGGATTGTGTAGAGCCTGGCAGGGCCTGAGTAAGGAGCGCGCCTCACTTGGTGCTCAGCTGCATGCACCCTGGCGCTTTGGGCCTATGCTCCCAGGCTTGGCAGGGCCTCCAGCCGATCACTGAGTAAGGAGTGCTCCTTACTCAGTGCTTGGCTGCAGGCCCAGCCATGCCAGGGTACGTAGGTCCAAAGCACCTGGGTGAAGCCCCCCCCCCCCAAACAATGTACACGAAACAAAATAAAAAAAACCAAATATCCAACTTCCCGATTTTGGGAGGTTCAGACAAAAACGGATTGGGGCCCCCAACGAAAGCCGGGACACGAAATGAAACAAAGTAGATCCTGAATGCACATGACTAGTATATATAGAGCCTTGGGTTGTATGCTTTGAGATGCAGATCTCACTTTTCAGGTCCTAATATTAATTGCATGCATTTTGACACTGTCATGTTCTCGATCTTATTTAGACATGAATAATTTCTGCAATATATTGTGATGACAAAAAGTTGAAAGGTTATGTCTAGACATGACATACTTGTTTTAATAAACAAAAACTATACATCCATCACTTTATCTTTAAAATATTCATATATTTTCTTCTATATTTTTAAAAAGTCAAGTACTTTCTTAAACAAAACAATAGCACCACTTTGGCACTGCTGACCAAATCAGTAAAAGGTAAAGCAAAGATTCACTCTATAATAATTATTTTCGAATTCTTCATTTGTAAAACACTTGCTTTTAAAAATGGAGAAGTCTTGAATACAGCAGAAGACTTCACATATATATACATTCATAGGTTCCAGCCATCATCCAAAGACATGTATAAATTATTATTAATAAGTACAAACAAAGTTCATATCCATGCAGTGGAAAGCCCAAAGCCATTCTGAGTCCATTCTTCATTAAAGCCCAGCTCTCGACATGCAGCATTATCCCATGCATGTTTTTCTTGAAAGTAAGTCCCACTGGATCTCATTGGGCTCAATTCCTTGAAATATGGATAGGGTTACAGCATTACAATGTGTTTTCATGCTTATCTGTTCAGATGTCAGTCCCTTTGAGTTTGGTGAGACTTATTCCCAAGAAAGTGGGTATAGTATTGTAGCCTTGAACTCACTTGTATACCGTGTATATCATATACAGCATGCATTGATACCAGATGAAGGCAGTGAGACTTTGGCAGAAACGTCGGCAGAAAAAATGAAATGCAAAGATACAGAACGGGGGACACCCGGCTCGATAGCAGTACAGGTGAAAAAGATCTTAGAGTCCTCATGGGCAACAAGTTAAACATGGGCCAACAATGTCATGCTGCAGTTTTCAAAGCCAATGGGATTTTGGCCTGCATATGTAGGAGTATAGTGTCCAGATCCAGGGAAGTCATGCTACCCCTCTATTCTGCCTTGGTTAGACCACACCTGGAATCACACTGTGTCCAGTTCTTGGTTCTGCAATTGAAGGGAGATATAGACTAGCTAGAATGTGTCCAGAGGAGGGCGAAGAAAATGATCAATGGTCTGGAGAACAAGCCCTATGAAGAGTGGCTTAAAGAGCTGGGCATGTTTAACCTGTTTAAGAAGAGAAGGCTGAGAGGAGACATGATGGCCATATATCTGACCTTTAAAATTCTTTACGGCCAGGGTCCATCGTACTTAGGGACCGCCTCTCCTTCTCCCATCATCGGAGGTTGCAACGACCAGCCCAACGCGACTTACTCTATATACCGGGTCCTAGAGAAGTGCACTTGGAAAGGACCAGACGCAGGGCTTTTTCTATTTCTGCCCCTGCCTTGTGGAATTCCTTGCCACCCTACATGAGAGCCATGCATGACTTAGGGCCTTTTACTCTAGCACTTAAGACCTGGCTTTTTACTAGAGCATTTGATCTCTGTTAATTTTTAATTTTTGTATGTATGTATTTTATCTTTTACAATTTAGCTGTAAATTGTCTAGAGCATTCTCGGATGGAGGGCGATTAATAAGTAATTAAATGATGATGATGATGATGATATATAAATACATGATGGGAAGTCATAGGGAGGAGGGAGCAGGCTTGTTTTCTGCTTCCCTGGAGACTAGGACCTGGAACAATGGCTTTAAAAGTACAGGAAAGGAGATTTTAACTGAACATAAGAACTTCCTGACTGTGAGAGCTGTTCAGCAGTGGAACTCCCTGCCCTGGAGTGTGGTAGAAGCTCCTTCTTTGTAGACTTTTAAACAGAGGCTGGATGGCCATCTGCCAGGGTGTTTTGAATGCGATTTTCCTGCATCTTGGCAGGGGGTTGGACTGAATGGCCCATGAGGTCTCTTCCAACTCTATGATTCTATGGCTTTATGAGCATGCAAATATTTGTAGATTACCTAAAACTGTAATGACATACATTTTACATTACTCTGTTTCTTGGCCAGGAGCTTGTTTTCTTACTCTGAACACATCTAATAATTGAGAGAAACTTCCTAACAGGAGCAGCTCTTTTGCAGTGAAACATACTGGCAGATTATTTTCTATAGTAAGTATTTAAACAGAGACTGGATAGCTATGCTGTCAGATATGCTATAGTTTGCCTAATATTGTATTGAGCAGAGGGCAAGACTAAGTTAACTCTATAGCCCTTTCCAGTGTTATAATTATGAGACATAATTACTTGAAATTACTTATAGGTTGCAGCGACAATTGCTTGCCTCTAATCTGGGCTCCACATTCAGCAAAACAATCTGGTACAGTTCTTGCTGAGGAGCATATTTCTTGAATGCTGGTAAGGTTCTCATGTGTGAAAGGTCTTTGTGGTATGACATATCCTTCCAGTATATCTGAAAGAAGATTAAGATAGACACCCCCGCCCCCATCCTGGTGCAGGTACTTTTCTTAGCATGGAAGCATTTTAGATGTATAATCTTCTGCCAATCCCAAATAGTACAAAAGAACAAAAATTGTACCAGCTAGAAAATTTCAGTTGGTAAATGTGGCTGAATGGAGATGTTCTCATCTACTCTACCTGCACGTGACTATTCTGATCTATATTCAGGATCAGTGAATGCCACCTTACTTAGCAAATTGTGTGGTTTCCTAAATTCCACTGAATTTGTGCAATTTGTGGACTCAGTCTTTTAAAAATACATGGCAGTGTATCTATCACCTCTACTAATTCCATTGACTTTTGGAAAACCTCATTGACTAGAAGCATCATCAGGATTCAGTTATCCTTGTTGTGGTACAAATCTTGAATTTATATATTTTCTATGAATCGAGTATGAAACCACCATAAGCTAGAAACAAGGTGCTGTCAATGTTATTGCAGTGATGTTAGTCCCCTTTTCAATTTGCACTTTGCTATAAGGTAGACATTTTTACTTCTTTTGAATATTAATGGAGGTACTTAATATTTAGAGATTTCATCCATTAGCAGACTTTAAAAAAATCTTGTTTTTCGCAAAACTTCATTTTTTTCTATCTTTGGCTTTGTTCCCACCACACTCCCAAGTGCATTCATTTTGATTTTACCTCTTACAGTTTTGGCCAGACCCCTTTCACAAAGCAAGCTACAAAATAGCACCATTGGACTATGAAATAGTTGTACATACTGTTGATTATATGTGTATTATTGATATGTAAAGTTTCTATATGTTGCACTATAAGGTGGAGAAGACAGTCTATTTATATTGCTGCAAAGGTATTTACTACTAGAAAGTGATGATTTAAAGGAATCTGTGTGGGTTGATTCAGCCCAGGCCCGTAGCCAGGATTTCGATTCGGGGGGGGGGGGGGGGAGTGGTTTGTGGGGGGGGGCTGAGTCTGAGTGAAAGAGGGTCTAACCTAGCAAACCTTTTGTATCATTACCCCAATACCCCCATGCATATGGGATATATTGAGTATGGTGATCAGATCATGATATGAATAAACATAACAGTTTAAATAATGCACCAGTAAGGCCTTTTCGTGAACCACCATGAGAATTTCGGGGGGGGGGGGGGGGGGAAGCCCCTCAAGCCCCCCCCCCGGCTACATGCCTGATTCAGCCGATTCCAACCAGAAAATTTGTGTTATATCTCTGTGTTGTGTGTTTTGAGAGTAGGGAGGAGGAAAATATAGTCTTTACATTGGTTATCCTGATCCACAGGTTTATTGTAGACTTAGGAGCCCCCATACATAGGGCTCTAATGTATATGGGCTGCTCTCTTAATTTCACTGGCTGATAGAAGCCACATATATTTTTTAAAAGAATGTAAAATAGTTATAGTAGATTCCTTCATAAGTCAATGGTGCAGGATCTTTTTCTGTGTATATTGGACCACAATAAGATCTCTGCTTGGAATAAAATATGTGTAAGTCATGAGCTATCAAAATGCAGTAGGTGAAATTAATGTGTTACTGCTGTTACTAGGAATGTGAAACTAGGCAAATATGGAAGGGGCAAACAAACTGTTATCAGAAACTGCAAGACAAACTGTCTGTTGCTTGTATGGAAGTGCAAATATTAAAAGAAAAAACCCCACAACCCACTTAGATAAGGCTGGTGAATGACTCCAACAGCAAGGTTCATAAGTTAATTTAGTGCAATTGGATCCATCAAAGGCCTATACATCTGCAGGCTTTTGAGGGGCAGAGAAAAGAGGAATGTATTTGTGTATACTTCTGTGTGTGTGTGTGTATGCAGGACATTTTCTAGTTGGTGAAAAATTAGAACAACAATCTACCGCTCTCAGAAACATTTTAGCACTGAGATGGCTTCTATTGGAATGTTTACTTGCATTGTTTATTGGAAGAATGCCCATTAATAGAGATTTCATCAAGCTTATTGAACTCTAGTGTTTTGTCCAATCTGCCAATTTATTAACAGCAAAATATCCTGCAGATGGCATGTTCATTCTTCACTCTTATGGATGGTATTTTCTTACATTCTGAAGTTCCTGTTTCCCGTGTTTCCTCTACTTGCATTCTTCGCTTGTATTTCCTGAAAATGAAAGAATTAAAAAAATGTTCAAAAAGCCGTTTGGAATTGGCACCTTACTAAGCATCACAGTAAGACTCTTCTATTCTAGTTTTATAAATGGTAACTGACTGTTGAAACACAAGGCTGTTGTAGGTTTTTTGGGCTGTATGGATATGCTCTAGAAGCATTCTCTCCTGACGTTTCGCCTGCATCTATGGCAAGCATCCTCAGAGGCTGTGGGGTCTGTTGGAAACTAGGAAAATGGGGTTTATATATCTGTGGAATGTCCAGGGTGGGAGAAAGAACTCTAGTCTGTTGGAGCTGATTGTTTCTTGTCTGGAGTTCCCCTGTGTTTGAGTGTTGTCCTTAATTTACTGTTATAATTTTAGAGTTTTTAAAATACTGGTAGCCAGATTTTGTTCATTTTCATGGTTTCTTCCTTTCTGTTGAAATTGTCCACATGCTTGTGGATTTCAATGGCTTCTCTGTGTAGCCTGACGTGTGAGTTGTCAGAGTGGTCCAGCATTTCTATGTTCTCAAATAATGTGCTGTGTCCCGGTTGGTTCGTCAGATGCTCTGCTATGGCAAAGTTCTCTGGTTGAAGTAGTCTGCAGTGCCTTTCATATTCAAACCATGAAACTGTCAGGGCATTAAATGCTAATCAAGATGGCCAATTGAAAAATTCACACCTACCTCCAACAGACAAGAGTTCTTTCTCCAACCCTGGACATCCCATGGATATATAAACCCAATTTTCCTAGTTTCCAACAGACCTCACAACCTCTGAAGAAAGATGCAGATGAAACATCAGAAGAGAATGCTTCTAGAACATGGCCATATAGCCTGAAAACCTACAACAACCCAGTGATTCCAGCCATGAAAGCCTTCGACAATATGTTGAAATACAGTTTGACACTACTTTAATTTTCATGGCCCAATGCTATTGAATCATAGAAGTTGTAGTTAATGTTATACAAGGTCTTTAGCCCTCCTTGCCAAGGAGTGTGGTTGCCTCACCAAACTACAACTGCACACAATACTGTGAGCATGATCGTGCCTTCCGAGAGTTATGCACGTGACTTCTTTGGAGGCAGTGAGTCATGATGCTTCCATTGTATCGAGTCTCTTTAGTCTCAGGATCATTGTAATGGATCCAGCTTTCATCATGTGTGATCAGTCTGTTGAAAAGGTCTCTTGGTTTCCATGGCACATCACCAATAGCATTTGACTCGTTCCTGCTTCTGGAAAGGTGTGTCAGCCAGGGGATCCAGCAAGCGGATACCTTATGCATGTGAAGATGGTCTTGGATGATTTTTTTCCCATGGACCCCACACTAATATTGACATTTTGGGCTAAGTGGCAAATGATTATGTGGTGATTTTCCAAAATGGTGACCACCACTTGCTGGATGGTGTGTTCATCAATAGCAGAATGGGGTCACCCTGGAATTGGAGCTGTTTGCACCGAAGTCCAACCACATTGGAATTGATGATATCAGTTTTTGAGTACATCATATGATGGGGAATCATTGGCATTAACCTTTTTCATCTCATCAAACGTCTCCTTTGGTGTGCGGCCTATCAAGTAAAGGAACTTGATGACTGCTTGTATTCCATTGGGTCCATTATCAAACCTCACACCACTTCAGCACCTGTAAAATCAAAACTGTTATCAGTTTTGAGTTGTAAACTGCCACGTAGTCTATAGAGACTTATCTGATTACACATGTGCAGCTTCAGAATCCTGTGATAAATAGAAGTGGGTCAAGGGAAATCTTTAATGAATGCCCCTTGTATGGATAAGTAATATCAGAGTGTGGTCAAGATAACAAAGTATATTAACAAGGAGGAACACAGATGCCAGGACAGGCAACAGAAGTTTGCATTTGTATTCAAAGGAAAAGTCAAGATTCTGCTACCTTCCCACCTCTTCCCACCCCTGAGTTGACTATTTCAGCACTTTCAACTTGGTTTTCAGCAATTCAAGGAAGTTGAGGACAAAGCAAAAAGAACTTAGAAGAGGAGAGATGAAGTGGAACAGCTGAACAGAGGATTCAGCAGGACTGTTACTGTGCAATCAGGACAATTGTGGATTTACTATACCTCCCCACCCCCCACTTCACCCCAAAAAGAAGGGAGATGGCTAATTGGCTGGCCAGAGACTCTTGTGGGATAGCAAAGATTCATCTGTTGCTGCTGAAATGGAGGAGGTAGAAGAGGGAGATCTTTGAGGAAATAGGGAAGGAGAATGAATGATATGATGACGGTCATATCATCAGAAAGGGCAGCAGAAGTTCTAGCAATGCAGGAGATGGACTACGATGGTGATTGTAGTATGGCTGGACAAGGATAGCACATGGAACAGTCAGCACTATGTGGTTCCAAGGCGCCACCTCACTCAATCCAGTTCAGCTACACAGCTAGTGGGAGATTGAGATCAGATCAATTTCTATTTGAATTTATAAAGATTAAAAATCTGGATCATCCCCATCTAGTATAGCTTTCAATTTCAGAGGGGTGTCCTTTATACAAAATTATAATGCCTTCATTACCACTGCTGGAAAGAGGAAGGACTTGACCGCTGTGATATTTAGGAATAGAAATGTGATTGTGGTCTTAGTCATTTATTTCTGACTAGCATGAATGACTGAGGCAATTTGAAATCAATGGAGGCATCTGGTTTGTGTTTGGATAACATTTGGCCTTAATGAGACTTTTCCGTGCAGCCAATGATATCAGTGGAGCAAAATCACTCGAAAAAACTTGGTTTCATTCCCATGGGTTGATTGGATCATGCTTACTTTTCTTGACAGGCTGTAGAGTCTTTTGCAACAGTAGCCAAACGAGGTTATGGACCACATGTCATTCTTGAGCAGCCCAAGAATAACTGTTAAGGGAAGCCAATTTATTTATCTTGCCAATTTGGAATTCTAGGCCACCCTGTCCCTAAGGCTTGGGGATGATTTGACTATAAAAAGACCACACTCAACTATTCAGATTAAAAAAAAATCTAAAATGCAACTGATACTCCATTAATGCATGCTTTGTGGAATATCCCACCGACCTGAGTAGTGTTTATTCCTAGATAAAAATGCACTGGTTTGCACCTTTAGAAAAAGAAAGTGAAGTTGAAACAATTTCCAAAATAAATTAAGAATATTAAGAATAAATCAAGTGGGATGGCAAGGACCGTCATTGCCAATTCAGGACAGTTGGAGGATGCTGGAAGTGACTGGTAATGAAGGGAAGACATGACCAGGGTAGGTAAGGTGACTACAAAATTGAGGGGAAATATGTTGGGGTTTTTTTTTTGTCATATAGCGGTTTTGTTCATTATATCTATATCATGCAATTCAAGGCCACAAACTCTTGTTTTATTGGGTTGTTGTGTGTTTTCTGGGCTGTACGGCCATGTTCCAGAAGCATTCTCTCCTGATATTCCACCTACATCTATGACAGGCATCCTCAGAGTTTGTGAGGTCTGTTGGAAACTAGGAAAATTGGGTTTATATATCTGTGGAATGCCAAGAGTGGGAGACAGTACTTCTGTCTGTTTGAGGTAAGTGTGAATGTAGCAATTTTATTCATTACAGTGCTGTGAAACAGGTTTTGTTGATTGCATAACTTTGTGTTTCACTGATTTGAACGTTTTACCTATCTCTTTATCAGCTGAATTTTTGTAAACTGTTTTGAGATCCTGGAATGTAAGTTAAAATTAATAAATCAATTAATTGATGGCAAAGTGAAATCATTTCCAAACCATTAGCTCATTATATGGCTTCTGTGGAGTTTGTATTGCCACATCAGAAGATGCTGAGTAATCCCTGTTCAAAAGATTTGCGTGCTTTTTCATTAGAAGTACTTACTCAATAAATTATTTGTGCCATGAACTCTGAGTTGCAATCTGCCACATTAAAAAAATTAAATAGCTAAACAAAACATTCTGCAAAAATAAAAATATCCTGAATTTCAGATTTTTAAAAATTATGTGAAACATGATGATAGAATCATAATATTTTAATCTTTTTATCACACAAACATTACTTTTTTTTTGCTTTTTCAGTAAAAATATAGAAAGCAGCAAAAGTTAGATCTTCTTTGTCCCACCCGCATCCTGCTTGTGATACGTAACGCCAGTTTAGCCATTCCATGTCAATTACAATTTGGAGAACAATTTCTTGGCTATGTATGATAATCAAAAGCAGACATCTTACAGGGCAGTATTCTAAGGTAATTAAGAAACATTGTGAAACAACAGTAATGACGATTAAGGATATAATAAGAATTGATCTGCCAAAATATTCTTTGTGATATATATATATATATATATATATATATATATAAAATCTGTAACAAGAATGTTATAAAGAATTAGCACTTAATTTAATTATGTCCGGGAGGATAAATATTACAAAACTGGGTAAAGGGTGGAGTGTCTTTCCAGGGTATCTACCATGGTGGCCACCTATTTGCTATTCTGCTGCTGTAATTGAGCTTTCACTAAATCCCTGAGGTAATACCTTATTAGGGGATGATGCCCTTATTTGTTTCAGCCGGAGGTTCTTCAAAATGTTTGCTGCCAATAGAAATCAATGGCTTCTTATCGTTGCGTGTGGTCAAGTCATTTCCAAGGGCAACTTATGATGGGTTTACAGATTTGTTCAGAGAGGTATTGCTGCTGCCTCCCTCTCTAACTGAGAGAGTGCAACTTGCCCAACGTCACCAACTGGGTTTTCATGGCCAAGTGGGGATTTGAATTCTGATATAATTTGGAGGAAACAATGGAGGCTTACAAATAGTATATATTGTGATTTGCCCCACCCTATATTTGAACTCAGATGATTATCCAATGAAATCCTCATCATGGCTTGGAGGATTTTCAATGATACTGAGATACTGAAAAGGGAGGAGTTGCATGTTTAATTTTTTTTCATGCATCATTGCCTCTGGCCTAGCAATAAGACACTCTTATTCTGGCCATTAGACCAGGAGAAGAAAATGTAATGTCAAGATGTATGTGGCTTGCAGGAGCCATTTTTGTAGCTCTCAGATCCTTCCAACTTAAAAATGGAGAATTGCGTTTCCACAGAACTCTAGAACACTGCTTCTTAAACTTTGGGTCCCAACCCCAAATGGGTTCCCCTTAGCTCAATGTTGAGGGTCACAAAAAATTGTCAACAGTAAAAGGTTTTTGAACTCCACTTATTTACATAAATCTGTTAGCAATTTGTGTAAATAGACTTTGCAGAAAATGATTTAGCTGTACCCTGCAAAAAGAAAAATCCACTTATTTAGCAAACCTTGCAAATGCTGATTTGTTATCATTAAATAACAAATACCTTTTTGGTATAGATATTTGTGTTCTTTGGATATATTTCATTATCATTAAAGTCTGATTGGTATACCTATTTTATGTGTATAGACCTGGAGTCACATAAAAATGGGTGAAAAGAGGCCATGAATGGAAAAAGTTTAAGAAGCCCTGCTTTAGAAGCTGCAATTCTGCATGCATTCATCATTCTTGGATACTTTATACTTGAAAAGGCCCAAAAGAACAAAAAAGAGAACCAGAAGTGATCACACTTCTCATTCTGTTTCATGAAACTGATGGGGTCTACGGGGGTTTGGGTGGTCTGGAAATGGCAGAAGATGGTTTCCGGGCCCTCAGACTACCCTCTGCACCTTACAGCAGGGGTGGGCAAAATGGGGCACATAGCTCCCAAGGCTGTTTGTGGCTCTTGATCTCCCCATATTCACTTGACTGCCCTGGAGATCTGTAGGAGTGGGAGTTCACCTGTGGTGTATTCCCACCCTGACAAGATTGGTCATGGAAACCCACTGGGTGACTCTGGGTGACTTTGAACCTCAGAGTGAGGACATGGCAAATCCTTTCTGATCAAATCTTCCCAAGAAACCTTGTAATCGGTTTGCCTTAGGGTTACTGTAAGTTGGAAATGATTTGCACATAACTCAACCACAATTCACCTTTGAAATAGGTGGCATCTCCTACTGGAACCAGGAGACTGTTGAGGCTGCCTTAACATGTCCTAAAGTTGCATGTAATGCATTTCAAGTAGTATTTGTTACCACTAAAAATCTGCAAATCACAGAACTTTAAACAAATTTGCATTCAACCCCTAATGCTGCACTCACTATAGACATTTTACTGACCTATTTCCTGACAGCTGTTCCCTTGATAGATGTCTTCTTCTAGTTTATTAAGTTTCTCTTTCTGTCTTTTGTGCTAACCCTCCTGCCTTTTCCCATAGATTTTGATACAAACTGCCCACGGGTTTTGTGGTGTGCAAATTTCTAGAAGAGTGAATGTGTTAGGAGTTGCTTGAGCAACCTTCAGGGTTATTTTTGAGGCAATCCTCATAATGTAACATAATAGTAGATACAAATAGTTCTTACTCTGGTTATCTTTTGTGCTTTGAGTATGTCAGTGTGGCGCTGCGCACGTACGGATCGTGCGGTTTTATCTCGTTTAGCAGGAGCGCAGTACATCTCCAGTCGCGTCAGGTCACAGCTTTGAAAGCAACATTCATCCACTATTCCTCTAGTAACTGAACGTCGATTGCCTCCATATCCAGCGGGTTTGCCTAAAGATGAAAAAAAAAAACCCCAGTCATTATTCAAAGCAGATAGGAAAACATCAAAATTCTAGTCATGCCACAGTATTATTGGCTAGGTCACTTGACAGAATAGACAACTACCATGGTGTAGTGGTTTGAATGTTGGGCTAGGACATTGCAAACTAAGGTACATATCTCCCTCACCCATGTAAACCCACTTGGTGGCAAAGCCCCTCTGAACTAATCTTGCCAAGAAAAACCCAAGATAGGTTCATCATAGGATCACTCACAAGTCAGAAATGACATGCATGCAACACAACTAGAATCTAAAAAATAGAAAATACAGAGCAAGTTATGCTGTGATTTCTTTGACTGGACTAAGTAATTGTAAAAATATTGCCTACCATACAATCAAAAACTCTACTGGCAGTGAAATGCACATGTAGAGTGATAGTGGCTGTGTCTTACTTTGCCTAGGACAGTCTTCTGATTGAGAAGGTGTCAGAGGGGGCTCCTTGTGCTGACGGATTGCCAATTCAACAGGACTGTTTAAAGGCAGAGTTGGTGACATTGACATCAATGGTAACAGTGTTTCATACAATACTAGAGCTGTTTTTAAAATTTTCTATTTGAATTATAATAATAACTTATAAATAGAGCCCAAGTGATCTTTGAAACTGAACAGAGTCAGCACTGGTTCCTTCCCCTGGACTATGGACTACACCATCAGGTATTTGTTGGTGGTTAATAATAATAATAATAATAATAATAATAATAATAATAATAATAATGGCCAGCATGGTGTAGTGGTTTGAGCGTTGGACTAAAAACCTCTTCACATGGATTGTGGGAATTCTGGCAGTGCCTGTCCAGAGGCATGGGGAAACCAACGCCCCACAACCTGCATCACCCAACTCAGCGATATCCCCATCCCATGGGGGGAAGCGTTTACTACCTAGCTTTCCCCTGTTGATCTAAGGCAACACCAGAAGCCCCCCTGTTGTCGCCATGATGGCATGCACCGGTTTGACTTCCCCGCTGTGATGTAATGGGAGCCAGCACGCTCCGTCATAAAGGAGAAAGCGAAACCAGTGCATGCTGTTGATTTTGCCCTTGTCTGGTGAGGTAGGATGGCAGGGTTTGAATCTCTGCTCAGCCATGGAAATCTACTCTGGGCAAATCATGTGTTGTTATTCCCAGAAAAGACTTTGCCTTACTGTAATCATACATCAGAAATGACTTGAAGGTGCATAGCAACAATTTTAATCTGATGAAAGTATAAAGTTTTGAGATTTGGGAAGGGACAGGAGAGAGAAAAGAGGAAAGAGTGTTTATTAAAGAGATGTTTCAAATTGCAGTACTCATCCTTATGCAACTTATTTATTGGAATAAGTAAGTTCAATCTTGCAGATTCAATGTGTACATTTAAACAAAACCCCTCTCAATGCAAAGTAAAAAATCCATATTCAGGATTTGATTATTTAGTCCTATCTGTGTGTTTTAAAAAGTGTGTGATGCTATGATCATGCTCCCAAGAAGCTTTATTTAGTAGGGCTGTGCAATCGATGAAAAAAATGTTTCAAAACTCATTACAAAATCATGGGGCACTGATGTTTTGTTTCTAAAGTGTCATTAGTGAAAATTTTGTCGCTATAATGATAGTAATGAAATGTCGTTACTTTTTCGTTATAGTAATTGTGCAAATGGGAAAACTTCAGGGGCACCTTTCTCCCTCATTTTTATAGCTATTGGGGTGAAACTTGCTACAATGGTAGAACACATTTACCCCTGTTAGCTCATCAAGTTTAAGCATGTTTTCCTTGATTTTGGGAAAATTTCAAAGTTTTTCTAAACAACATTAAAAAAACTACAAGAGCTATCTCCCTGAATTTTCTATACAATGACACAAGATTACAGGGGATCATTCCCCTTAACTTTCAGAAATATTCATAGATCTACTAATTTTAGGGATTTAAAAAAGTTTTGACAAAAATATTTGTTTTTTTAAGCCACAACAGCGATCTCATTGAAGGTCTCTCTTATTAAGCAATAGAACTTCAATTTGGGGGCTTCCTCCCAGCCCAGCACAGAAATTAAGAGCCCTTCCACAAAGCCAGATAACCCAGAATATCTACTTTGAACTGGATTATCTGAGTCCACACTGCCATATAATCTAGTTCAATGTTGATTTTATACAGCTCTGTGGAAGGATCCTTACTTATTAGAAGTATCAGTCAGTCCTCCTCTTTGTAAATTCAACAATTTATTTGAATTCTGGCTTGCTGCTGCTACATAGATGGACAAATATCTCCCCTATCCTGAATGGGACTTTCTAATGCTGAGAAGAATTCTGGGAAATGTAGTTTAGGGCAGGGTCTTTTGAATTCTCTGACACAGTGCTCCTCGCCTTCCCAAACTACATTTCCCAGAATGTATGTGCTTTCTCTGTCTCTTTCCCAGCGAACTCTGCTTTCTCCCTGCTACTTCCCTCTCCTAATGTCCATTAATTTAAAGACAAAAGGCAGCCTTTTTGGCTTTGCATTGCTTCCTTGCACTGAATATAAAACTGACTTTGGGAGGCTTCTGAGATTTACAAAGTTTAAATGAAAAGTATTGGGTAAGTTTCGATTCATACGTTTTTGGGCTCAGGCCATGCCCACACTTTGAATATCACATCTTAAGTACAAATTTAACTAATTTTATATGACTTATGATGACTAACAAAAATTGCACTTCACTATTATTTAGACTGTTGAATAAGACAAGTCTTATTCCCTTAAAAATCTAAATACATAAACATATCTGTCTACAGCTGAGAAACAAAAATTAAGTCACCTAACCTACCCCAGCTGCCCTCTCCCAAATTGCCTTGTATTTTTCAATGTCCACTGTTTTCTTTACGTCTACACACATAAAAATCTACATAGATATGCTATTTATTTATTTAGAACTTCTAAACATATTGAATCAAAACAGCTATTGAAAAGAAATGGATTAACAGGCTAGTGTAATTTGTCTGTTGGCACAACCTCCTAGTGGTAATATTATGTGTCTGCTTAAAACAAATCACAGGCAACTACATTATTTATGAACAATAGTGGGATTACATAAAAAGAAATAAAAGAACTGGATGCTAATGCAATAATATATAATTCCATGCCAACAATGATTATAGCAACCAAGGCAACATTTTCATTTTTCATTTCACGGCCAACATCTTTGGAAGTTTGTAACACATCTGCAAAATAAGCTGTTATTGTGAAGATGGCAATTTTGATTGTAATTTGTAGTGGAAATTGAAAACTCACTGAAGCAAGGAGGCGTCAGACCACAGTATTGGTTTCAATCAATTTATTTGGCCGAGGTGTTAGCTTAGCTAAGTTGGAAAAGGAAACCGCCACACCCACCGTCAGCTGAGCACACCTTTTATAGTGTATTAACAGTGCATGTGTGGTTTGTAATTTTTATTTCCCCCAAATTACCTGATTTACAAGAAATCACATTAGCTAATTTTATGCAGAAGCACACTTACATTCTTCTTGGTGTCGCTCTTTGATAATCAGCTCAGACACTTACACACTATTAAGCAAAGCCATATAAGGAGGATTTTTTTTAATTTTACTTCCCTCTTATTAGATTTAATATAATTTGACAATAGGTCACAAATAATATGATACAAGGACTAACCTGCATGTTCTATCAAACAATTCCCAAGCAACCCATCCTGGGGTAACTGTATAATAGGGAGTGTAGTAAATAAGAAGTTAGGTCTTCCACCTTTTACAGAGCCACAAATATATAATCATTGGGTATAGGACCTACCAAAAACAGCAGTTGACTATTCCTAAAGTAAAACTGATCTTTATTGTCCTCCAAGTTATATGTTTTGCTCCCTTGATATGTGGTTTCCAGTTGCTATTATAGAAAAAAATAGATTCAGAATTTAAAAGTGCGCCATTGCTCAATGAAATGTGCATCAATGTTCCATTTATGAAGGTGCTTCCTCTGGGAGAAGACAATTACTTTTATTTTAAGTAGTCTTACTTCTGTTTAATTTTTAAGTCTCTTCAATTGTTCTTGAAAGGTAGATAAAGAGACCATATCATCTGCATTCAACAGCATTTTTTCGTGTTTCCAACAAAAGTTGGGAAAAGTCTAGTAAACATAGATAACAGACTAGATTGTTCACATAGGAATTAAAGAGAAATTAAAGTTGGACTTAATAGCCTATGTGGCCTCTTTCAAACCTATGATTCCATTTTCTCAATAGCATTGTTGGTATTCTCATGAGGATGTATAGTGTAGGGAATTCAGAGCTTGAAAAAGTTACTTTTTGAATGACAACTCCCAGGAGCCCTCAGCCAGCATAGAGTGTACATACTGGGCTCCTGTACTGGAAGATGTACTCCAAAAGAATAATTTATCCAGATTCAGACAGAACACATAAATGCCAATAAACAATTCTGCCTGACACCACTTCTGGCATTGGACTTTGATAGAGAAAGTGTATTTCAGACTTTGTGTTTTGGGTATTAAGCTGACAGACTGAATCAATTCATTTTACAGTATAAAATTTTAACTATGGTCACTAATAAAGCTAAAGAAAAAAGCAGTCAATAACAATCTGTCACAAATTGCAGAAGAACAACATGTTCTCTGTACATCTTTGATGATTGTGGGACCATTTTCTTTTGGCTCTATACACTTTTTCTTATCCTGTTATCAGGCTCCTGCTCTTAGACTCTTCCTGCTGAGACTCTGAATTAGAAGTAGTTTTGCTTTATGAGATTAGCTGGTTGCAATTAGTTGGTGGCACATAAAGATCTTCAGATTAGAGGGTAGGAATAATTCCAAGTAGATAACATAAAAAGTGTTATCTACTTTCTTGGGCTCAAAAAAATCTCTGCCATAGATAGTGGACTCTCAAGATGCTAAACCCGAACAAAATATGCCTTCTGTTCATAGGTTTTGAACAAGGGCATTAAAATTTGAGAACGTTTTGAAATATTAAGAAGATAATCAGTTCT